GGAGTCGTTCTCGCAGCACAGGCCGGAGTCCGAGCTGAACGGGAGCAGCTCCTCGGAGGCCGACAGCTCCGCCGGCTCCTGTCTCGGCCAGCCGGACAGCACCGTCTGCGTCCAGGCGTAGAGCTTCTGTAACGAGAGAAATGGTTCCCTTTTGGAGAATGGCACAAAACAGGTACGGCTTTCCCAAGGCTTGTCGGATGAACCTTGTCAACCATCCTCAGTTGGAGGTACTGCCTTGTTCCCAGCCAGGAGAAGGGGGGTTACCCTACAAAGCAGGGGCTTTTTGCTCCCTTCTTTCTCTGGATCCCCTGTCTGCAGCCGAGTGAGCTGGGGGGTTGTGTCTGCCTCACCACAGGGTGGTAGGACAGAAATGGCACAAATTCCCTTCCCTGGATCCACTTGATCCCCAAAAGCAGAGCTGCTTGGCAGGGAGCTGGGTCTGCGCTCAGGCTCCTGAGATAACCTGGAGCATCTCATGTCGTTGCGTTACCACCTCCGCTGGCAGCAGACACTTCATTGCAAAGAGCAGCTCTTTGCCTTGGAAGCTGAAAGGCATCAGAGGGAAGGCTGGGCTCCAGGAAAGAGCTAATAAAAGGAAAATGTCTGAGACAATTTCCTTTCTAAATATTAAATGCTACAATGGGGTATACAAGGGGCTGCTTCTGGCATATTTATTCCTTAAGCCTTGGGGAATGAATCACAGTGCTCCAGTCATCACCGGATAAAAGGTGATCTCTCTGTCTAGCTGCTTAGCGTGTGCTTCTCTTGCATGTATGCATGTGTTTTTCAGTTCTTTCACACCCTTGTGGCCTATTTCTCTATTTTCACAGCTCATGCCCTTATGCAGGGCCACAATTGCTATGAGAAACACGGTGATGGCACTTAAGGGATATGAGGTTGAGACGTCCCCCCTGGCGTGCTGGGCAGGGCGATGGCACCGAGTCCCTCAGCCCTGTGGAGCTCCCTTGTCCCCCAGCTTCCCGCTTCTCCCTCCCCCGTCCTTCCCTCTTGCTCTCTCTTTAGGCAAGTGACAGAAAAGATAAAGAGCTCAAATTGAGGGGGTGGGAGAAGTCGTCCCTTTTTCTCATTTCAGTCTGTGCACGGAGCCCCAGGGAAGAATTTCATACAGGAATAAAATGGCCTCTTTCAGACAAGTTAAGCCACCCAGCCCCCTCCCTCTGGGACAAGAACAAATGCAAAGGGACAACTTCCCTCCTGCCTGGTCCTACCTCCAGCTCCCTTCCCTCCCCCGGGGCCGGAAAACAAAGAAGGCGCCAGACCCCGCAATGGGAGCTGCACTAGGGAAAGGGGCAGCGATGCTGTTTGAAAGCTGGAACCAGCCCAGAAGGCCTCAAGATCTCTTAAAATTCCCAAGACAAGTGAATTTCGGGAAGAATCACAACTGTTAGAAAGCACATTTCCCAAAAAGAAAAAAAAGCTGCTGAGATGAGGATGGATTATTTAGGTCAAAAGCAGGGGATGATTAACTCAAAATCACTAAAAAAGACCGAAGAATTTCCCTGCCTCTCAGTCTCTGGGTGGCTTATTTGATTCAAAGATCTGAATGGTTTTTATGGCTGCAGTCTCATTTTTCTGTTCTTGTGCTTAACCAGAAAGAGATAACCTCTTTGCACTTTTCTGTGTAGGAGCATTTTAGATGGCTGCCCACACCAAGCAAATCACTAGGAATAAAACCCGTTGCCTGACATTTCACGGGGTTCCAGTTTGAGCAACAAGTTGGCCTGTGCCCATCAGCAGGAGCAGCTTCTCTCAGTGCAGCTAACATGATGCTGTGGGCACTTACAGGTAACTCTGTTTTGCTGCATTCTTAATGCGAAATGCTACTTCCTACTCTGACCAGAGAGCACATCCTTAGCAAAGGCATGTGGAGTGGTTTTCCATGGGAATTTTTCAAGCCTGGGATGTGGTAACCCCATCATCAGGGCAGCCACGCGGTGCCCAAGAGCAGGTCTAAGCTGTGCTATAACAGCCCACCAAGGATCAGCAGCTGTGAGTTAGGGCACGTGTCCCCTGTGGCATTAGCTAATGCTGCCAACTAATACAGGTGCTGGATGGAGCTAGAACAGGTGAGAACTTTGGTCATGGTGAGGAAACACAACAGAGATCATGGAGCATTTGGAAACTACAGCAGATCCGAAAGCAGAGTTACCTGTAAACTATGTTTGGAGGGGCTGTAGTCTCCAAACGCTCCGTGATCTCTTCTATTTAGTTACTAACTAAACTTGGAAGAGACAGTGACTAACCGTCTAATCCATCTCTGGCATTTTGGTTTGTGCCTCACTGCAGGAGCGAAGCCCCTCATGGGGATTATCCGGTTGGACTCAAGCAGGCTTTGCTCTGTCTAGCTGAGCTTGTCATTGCTGGGAAGCAGGTGCAGCACTTGGGACGTGAATCCTTTCTACAGGTTTGCGTTCACGGTGGCCAGGGGATGCTCAGCCAATTACTGAATTAACTGCAGTTGTAAAGGGCAACGTTTCTAGAAACACTTAATGTAGGTGGCTGTTGTCTTCTAGGAAGCAATAAGTGAGTGAACGGGTCAGGCTGCAGTTCATTCCCCTGGTGTTTGGGCAACCTGGGGGAATCTCTCCCAACATTTAAGCAATGGCCACAGAGGCAGAGTCCAGCAGTGTGGTGGACACACAGACAACCAGCAAAACCAAGAGCTTTTTCTTTGGCCACATGCTTTGAGATGCCTCTGTGAGTGATTTGAAGGGGAAAGAAACAGGCAGCATCCCTGTTCTCCTTCTGCACGGATCTGTTACAGATACCATCCACAGGCTTTCAAATAAGCAACCATGGAAAATCCTGTCTCTGAGCATGAGGCATGTCAGATGAGGGAAATTAGAGCCAAGGAGCAGATAGGCTATGGAGCGAGAGTGGGAGGATTATTTATAATCCACCAACCATTTGGTTACTGAATCTGGCCTTTCAGACAACAGGCACAGACACCCCTTTCTGGTGCCAAGGTGGTGTTAGCGCTGTTCTTGATGGTGCTAAATGTGGTGTCAGCAGCTGAAAGCAGGGAGAGAGGCACAAGATTGGTCCCTTGGTTATGGAGTACCCTGTGTAGTAAGTTTGGATCCTTCCTTATATCTTTAAGCAGAGAAACTGCAGCAAAGAGCCCGCCTACTATTTTCTCTCTGCTCCCAACAGCCCCGGAGAGGCAGAGAACGTTGCTGACACACAGGGAAGGGCATGGGGGAGGCTCCGCTTGAAACCTGCCCACCCTTCCTGGCCTTGTTTTCCGGAGTCATACAACAGGGTAGGACTGTTGCACTGTCTCTTGTTGTGACCGCTGCAGAGCTAGAGGTTGTGTGAAGAGCTGGGAGACAGCCACAGGCGGTGCACAAAATACCCCCCCTTTAGGCACCGTCTTTGCTCCCCGTTTCCCCCCTGCTCCTGATGCACGGCAGCCAGCGGCAGGTCCCCAGCCCCATGAGGTGGCAGATCTCGTGGCAGGTCACCTTGCGGGAAAGCAAAGACCGCAGCAGCGCGTGGTCACTCAGGCCTCCTGCTCTCACCACCCCTGCTCCATGGGGCAGAGCTGGGTTTTACCCAGGCCCGAAATACAAGCCCTGCACCGCAAGAAACACGGGACGTTCCTCATCCTACCTTACAGCACTGGACCATCTCAAGGGCGCTGAACGGCACCGTCCGCTCTCTGCTTTCCTTGCTGGCTTCGCACAGCCCGTCCTTCTGCACCAGGGGAGTCCAGTTGCTGCAGCCAGATGGGGGGAAATCCCCCGAAAACCTGGCAAAGCTGCAAACTCCCACTTCTGTAACGAGAGGCACAGACAGGTGAGGCACTGGTGCTCCTGTGCCTGCCTCTCACCTTAGGTAGTGTGAAAACAAAGCTGCTGTGCTACAACTCCAGCACGCTGCACTTCACTGCACAGCGAGCACCGGGATATACCTCCCCAATGGTTTATAGTACATCAGGTTCCTTTGCTTAAACCAGTAGCCTCAGCCTGACTCTCCTATTTTTAAAATGGAAGAAAAACAAAAAATACGCAGTTCTTCTTATCAAGAAGCTGAATGGAATTTTGAGGATAAGATGTGCCTTTTCTAGCCTCACAGGGAAGGCTTTTGGGTACAGTTTTTATGTTTGTTTTTTGGCTTTTTTTTTTTTTTTTTTTTTGCATCCTGTGGTAGGAGATCATCAGATGCAAATCCCACCTTGTCCGGGCAGGAATTTGCTGAATGTGAAGCTCCAGGTCTCACATGGGTAAAGGTCCAGCAGTGTGAGTCCCAGGACACACAGGGCATCCATGGGCTTGTTGTTCTTCAGGAAATTCAGGATCCCATCTGGTCAAATACAAGAGAGATGTCCGATAAAGTGAAGGCAGGAGGGAGCAGATTTCCTCCTGCTAACAGAAAGGAGCCTGTAATCCAAGCCACAGATTGACAGAGCTGCTGGATTCAGTATCTCCGATGGAAATTCACTGATCTATGGCCTTTCCTGTCATATTCCATTGAGGAGATGCTGAGCACTGTGTTAAACCAAATTAAAACTAAGGGTAGATTCCTGCTTTGTCATGGGGTGAATTCAGCACTAATCTGTGGAAATAAGTGCCCGGAACTGTAGGAATTTCCCTATGGGCATCTGAGGGCTGTCCTGTAGCAGCCTCCTTGCTGCAACCCTGGTCCATGCTGAGCAGAGGCTGCCCCGGTACCTGGAAACCGCTCGTTCCAAAGGGATGTTTGTCAGCTGGGAAACCCATCATCTCTCTAGGGATCTGGGTGACACCTGAACTCTGATTTCCTGACGTGAAAGGCCAGTGCGGTCCCCACCTGCACCACCCAGGCTGCTGATTTACTTTGGCTTTGGACAAGAGGTGGAGAGCTCTGGGCAATCCGCAGCCCTTCCCCTCGGAGCCGCTTAACCCCCGTGCAGTGTGGGAGCTGCACCACGATAAGGGCAAACAGCAGAGGAAAACGTGACGAAAGCCGCTTTGTTTTTCATTCGTGTTTCCAGGCTCCAAGTGATGGGTTTTCCACAGCAATAGGCTTGCTCCCTGCTCGCTCCCTTCCTCCCCGCTCTGGGATTTTTCAGGCATTCCCGAAGGCTCCGCCGGCCTTACCTGCGTGCAGCTGCACTCGGTCCGAGTCCCGGCTGTGGCGGTAGCAGCAGTGGATAGAGGAGACGGAGATGGAGGGAAGGCACTTGACACGGAGGCCCAGGAAGAAGGACTCGACGCAGCTTTGCAGGGAATCGAGCAGCGAGAGCCCCACGGGCCCTTCCGTTAGGTCTGCAGAGAGAAGCTGCATGATCAGTTCCTTGAAGCTATGGGATGCAGGGAACAGCTGGAAACGGTTACATAGATACTGAAGGAGAAGCAGGGGCTCTTTCAGAGGACCTGATACCTCTCGTAACAGAGCAGATGCTCCAGGAAGGTTTTTCTCTGAGATATAAGTTGTGCAGAAAGATGAACCTGTGGGCTGGGTGGGGTGGGATGTTTATTTTTCATGAACTGCAGGGATATTGCCAAGATAAATGGGCTTTTAAATTAAGAGGAGTCCCAGAATTGTTGTTTTATCCAGCATTATTTTACCTACATGTGTGTGTATATATATATATATGCATATATATATATATATATGTATTCATAGCATGTCTCACCCAAAGGCATGCATGGCATTCATGACATTTGCAGGAGATGTTTATTGACAGTTGCCATCATAGCTTGGGACTCCAGCCTGGAGGCACATCAGAGCCTTGGATATTACAGATGTCTCTTTACAGTGGCAGTTGCCTTTCCCAGGTTAGTCCTTACAAGAGGCCAATGGGTATTAGTGTGCTCAGCACCAGCCATCTCCCTCCCTGCCTGTCTGGATAGCCCAGTCAAGGCACCGTGTTTTCTTAGCCCATGTTACCTATCGGCTGCAGGTAAATGTGCTTTCGATAGAAATTCTGCTTCCTCCTCAGCATGGAGTGGTAGAAGGTTTCAAAGTCTTCGGGGGCATCGGGGTGGCTGAGGAGCCAGTCGAAGGCCGTCCTGATGAGCAGCGAGCAGAAGAGCGTTCGCTGGGGGTTGTAGGCTTCGGAGAGGAACAGCTTCTCAGCGCTGGAGAAAGCCTTGACGTAGAGCTCCTGCAGGGCCGGGTTGGTGGAGATCAGAGCGTCCTTCAGAGCCCGGGGCCCGAAGCTGAATTCCTGAGCGTGTTTGCATTGCAGCATGTTGGAGGGTCCCACCGGCTGCAGCACTGCCTGCAGGGATGGATGCAGCCGTCAGCGGGTGGCCTTGTGAAAACCCTTGGGGATTGAATCTCTGGGTCCCGAGATCCCAACCACGAGGTTTGACTGGGTGCTCGGAGCTGGCTGGGAGCCCTGTGCGTTTCTGTGACAAAGCTGCTGCGGGTGCTCCGTGTCCGCACGTACCTCTCTGGTTTATGGGCAATGTACCAGTAGATGGTGCTCAAGAATGTGTAGCCCCATTATTGCTACCAGACATCTAGATTAAGTCATCTGGGCGTTTTTGTTGTTGTTTTGTTTTGGTGACCCATCCCAAAGTACCAATATCATGGCACATGTCCCTGTGTATTTGCAGACATCTGGCTGCACTAGCCCTCATGTGTCATTGGGAAGCAATGCTCCTTTCTGCTTCAGCTAAAAGTCACCAGTGGCTCTCGAAGGCACAGAAATCCAGAGCAGGATGAAGTAAGAGGTAGTCCTTGGTCCTTATTTTTAGGACATGCCATCTGGCAAGCCCAAAACCTAAACTTCTGACTGATGTGGCTGACCCCAGTAAAAGCAGCTTGCTCTGTTGACAGTTCCCTCTAACTGCTTTCATCCCTCACCCTTAGCTCCTGAGCTGGCTCGTGTGCACGGCGCTGTCGGCAGGCTGTGTGATGTGGCCAGCCCCACGGGCAGGTGGGACACCACACGAGTGGCTCGAGCTTGTCCCTTGTTCTTCCCTAGCTAGGTACTTACGGGCCCACTGCCATCGTGTCACTTCATAAGCAACTGCATGTCACACTGTGTTAGCATCAAGAGAGCTGGTGATGATGCTAAGTGGAAAATAAAGAGCAAAGAAAAGCCCACAGCAAAAAGAAATTAATTCATAGCATTCTGGAAATATCCTTTCCAGGGGGCTTTCCAGTGTTTTCCAAGGAGCTGCAGAGGTCATGCACCTGACCTCGAATGCCACTGGAATCCCAGTGGATATCCCAAAGAAAGCAGAGAAAGAGAAAAGGAAGTGCTACCCCTATAGCTACTGTACATCAGGGTTTTCCAAAGACTTTTTCCCCCTTTTTTTTGAAAGGAGACCCAAGAAAATAGAATTTGAGTGTTCTGCAACTGTACCTTGGGCAGAGTCACCAGCATCTGGAGTCCTGTCCTTGAAGACTGTGCAAGCAGAGCCCTGAGCCCACAGTGCACGCAAGGCTGCTACCAGAGGATGACCAGGTATGGATATTGCACACGTGGCCAGTGTGTGACAGTGAATCCAAAGTGTTCTGGAGCATCATATTTATGACACATGTTTCCATCTAAGAAATCTGTGACCAAAATGGGAGCCACAGACAGCAGAATGGGAGTACTCGTGTACACGCACAAGCGCTGGGTTATTCTATTAGGCAAGTTAAACCCTGTTTTAAAAGAAACCAGAGAAGCCTTTTGGGTGTGTAAGAAAATCTGCAAGCTGCTGACCATCATCATTCAAGTAAGGAAAAAAAAAAAAGGAGAAAGGAAAAAAGAGGTGAAATATTTTTAGAAGGAACAGGGTATGTCTATAATTTAAGTAGCTCTGCAGCCTAGCTCTGTCAAGTGACTTTCACTGGCTCTTGGGAACAGTGATATAACGATGAATTCAGTGTTTAAAAAACAGTACCAAAGGGATCCAAATTCTTTCCTCAGTTATTCAGAGGTAGCTCTGGTAGTTTGTGCCAAAAGAGAAAGATGGCAGCCTCCTAAAATTAATATTTAATTTTTTTACATCTAACCAAGTAGCCCTTGGGAAGATACCTGTGTGCATAAACAGGCCTTAAAAAAGCCTCATTCTGTATGCTATTTTTTGACAGTACTAGGTAGAAAAGGAGAGGGAATGGGTAAGCAGTTTCCTTTTATTCCTGCAAGCTTTGTGTTTTGCTAGCATTAATGCCCATCTGCAGACAGCACAGCGGGACCTGAAGTGGTACTGAGGGCCTAATCCAAGAGCAGCTTCGAAAGTCCTACGATGCCTTCTCAGCCACCTCCTCAAGCTGCCAAATTGCTTCTGTTGTTTTTTACAAGAGTTCAGGTGAGGTGGTTTTGCACTTTGTTACCAAAATCTCTGCAGCTCTGACCTGCTTCCATACTCAGGAAGGTAAAATGAGATTCATGGCCTCATTGAAGTCATCAGGAGTTTGGCTGTGGACTTTAGTAGGGTCAAGATTTAACTTATTCTGCCTAAACTAAAAATACTGGTCATTTGCAGAACTTATCTATAGAAACCATTAGCTATATTAAAATCACTGAGGGTGAGATCTGGCTGTTCCAATGAGATTCTTTGCAGACTCAGGCAGCACTTTGCAAAACTGTCCTAGGAAAGTCTCCGTGATGGTCCAGGTTGAGACCGCTCTTTCCAAAGGTGGTTTCTGAGAGGTGCAAGCTGCTTTTACCAGGGTTTCCTGGTAAGCAAACGTAGTGGGATGTGCAGAAGCGGGGCTTGGTTGAATAAATGCTGCAAAATGAATAGATTTTTCTCTTCTAAATGGGAAGCAGTGCGGATGGGATGTCTACAGCAGCAGCGAGTACAATGAGCGCACAGTCTGTTGGCATATGTACCCCCGGGCTCTCTCAAGGAATATAGTGTGTACCCAAAGCTGTGGGATATATGTTGTTTCCCAAGATTTCCTAAAAGGGAACATTCACCCCATCCTGGCTTTCCCCATTTACGAGCACAGGCGTCCTGGGAACATCCACCCAGCCCCAAGACGTCCATGCTGGCACCCAGTAGCTGGAATCCTCGAGCAGAGGAATTCCCTTGCAGAGCCTGGTCTGCAGTTCTCCCTCTCCTGGGCTCCTTGTTTTTGCTTCCAACAGAATAGCAATGACCCATCACATTCACCAAATCCAACATAATTATTTTTATTTAAGAAGATTTCCTAAGATACTTCACTAGAGAAAATTAATGTTTCAGAAAATTTTTATGGGCCCTGCTAGCAGTTTAAAAAGGAAACCGTTTTACAACATTAACTGGAGTAGATGCTATTTGTGCCTGATCTAATATATGGATATACTGTGTCATTAAGGGAAGTGCTGCAAAAGGGTTTTGTGGTGTTCAGCCTGCGTGTCGAGGATGCAGCACGCTCTGCTGCAGCGCCTCAGCAGGGAACAGCACCGCTGCTTGCGGAGGCATTTGGTGTAAAATACCAGGGTGATACTGAAGGGAAAGCACCCGTGCTTCCTGGTGCTCCTCAGGCACCCAGGAAAGAGTATTTGCAAAGCAGGAAAAAAAAAAAAAAAAGAAGAGGTGCAAGAGAGGACTACAGAAGCAAAAATAGAATATACATAAACCGTAGTTATATATATACACACATATATATATTGCTTAAAGACAAACAATAGCTTTTTATCCTGAGTCCTGCAGAGGAGAAATGTCACCAGGGCAACCCTCAGGGTCCCTGCAGAGCATGGACGGGTCCATCCGGAGCTGGGAATCCCAAACGGATCTCCCCCAAAGGGGAGTCCCAGACGGTAACTAAGCTGGACACTTTATTTGCCCGTCTGGCAGGCCAGGGTGGACATGCTGCACCAGCCGTGACCCAAAAGAGGAGTTTTTCCAGGCTCAGCACCTCCCAGCTGAGCAGTCGCTATTTTAGTAAGCTGTAAAGCATTTTATGCACAACTCAAGTTACTCATGAATTATTCTCTCTGCAAATCAGGCACCTATAAATTATTCTCTGTAATTGAGATTTATCCATGAATTATTCTTTTTGTAATTCACCGATTTGTCATTTATTCTCTAGCATATTGACACTGCTTGCTGGCAGTGTGCAGCGTTCATAAGCCAAGGGGATGTCATACGGTATCACGCAAGTTCACTGCAATACTCTGCTGTGAGAGAAACAGTCCTGAGTGAACAGATCCCATATAGCGCTGATCCAGGAAAGAACATGCAGTGCATAACAGCTTGATCTGGGTTTTATGGAGTCTGGCCCTAACATTGGATTGTATATATGCAGCTTTAAGCTGATTGTTCCAAAGCTGTCTATTTTGTAAGTCAGTTTGTAAGCTGTTTCTACCTCTGTCTCTTATACAGAGTGCAGGTGCATGGAAGGAGTATTAATTTGTTTTTTTTTTTTCCCCAACTGTTACGAAGTATTTAGAGACTGATCCATTTTACTGGACTCTTTGGATGTGAGAGGGACATCAGCCAAGTCTGTTAAAACTGAATAATTGCTTAAATCAGGCACTGTACTGTAAATAAGTGGTGATAGTGCAGAAAATTCATAGCCCGTCAACCTAAATGAAAAGCCCAGAGCAAACATAACAAGCATCAGCTAATTATCAATAAATGCCCTAGTTACTTAATAGCTCCTTCCCTGAGATTTGTGTTATCTGCAACTGCTACTTTTAGATCATTCTCTCCTTCCCTGTTTAACTCACATGACAGCCTGAAAGCAATTGTCCCTGTTTGTTGACCTGCATGAAAAAAAGATTTTTCTTGACTGAGAAGTTCAGTCAATGAACACTCACAAGGGGTAAGAAAGTCCAGTGGAATGGGAGCAAAGGAGGATGCTCAGACGTGGGAGCATTTATCCCTGGTACAAATAAAATACTCATTACTAACGCTCCTTCCTCAAGGACCTAAGTGCAGTCATTTGCACAGACGGACACTTTGCATTAACTTTGCATTAAGAGACTTTGCATTAAGTGGCTATGAAGTCATGAATCAGATCTTTGTGTGTTCCAGACCATAAAATTAGATAAGATCCTTCTGGCCTCAGGTGCTGCCAGATCCCAGTAATATATATGTGTAATGTCTCCAGATTATGTATATGACACTGAAACAGATGCTTAGTGAGGTCTCTCTGGGAATGAGTCATTCCTGGAGCTGTGGAAACCTCCAGGGATTCACACATGCATTTAGCTGGAAGAGAATCTACCTGTGACTATGAGTGATACCTTACTACCTTTACAGCCCAGTCCTGGAAACTCACTTTCCAGTGGATTTTGTAATGCATTTACTTGAACAGGTCAGCTTGACAACTTGT